AAGGTTTCTCATTGGCTTCTCACGTTGTTGATATTCTCATGCGGCAGGTTTTATCAAACACTGGCGTTGTGGTTGGATGAACCGAGACTTCACGACCCCACTCTATACCTACCGTCATTGCCGCTTCCTTATGATGCAGTCAGGCTTGAGACTTTACTCAAACCAGAACAGGTATGGAGCTGCTATCCAAGCCCTTACACTCCTAGCATTGAGCCGTATGTAAATAAACCCTTGAGACTTTACTCAAACCAGAACAGGTATGGAGCTGCTATATCCAACCCCTTACACTCCTAGCATTGAGCCGTATGCAAATAAACCCTCCTTCCAATTTTAACACACTTTAAAGCAGATTTGCCTAAATTTAGCATCGCCTTGAAATTACAGTCATTTTTTTTGTCTTTGTCTTTTAATAGTTCTTTTCTTTTTATTTTCCCTGTTTTGTTAGGTACCTTGGTTTGATTTGATATTCATGAAAAAGATTGATATGGAAATCACCGAGTCTGTACGTTGTTGGGTAAAATACGCCCTGGGACCTCAAAAGAACCCCCCTGAGAGTAAAGCCACTGGTCAGTGGAACGACAGGAATCCTGAAACAGGTATTAAACTTGCGAGCACCTTTTAGCACCCACTTAATCGGTACACAATTGTTTTTCTTATTCGTGTTCCCCTCGCCCTCAAGACAATTCTGAGAGGAAATTAAAGGTTCTTCAAGCAGACCAGATCAACACCTTCAATACTAAGATAATGTAACATGGAAATAAAAATGATGCAAACTTTTTCTTTTTACATTCGACTGGTGGTTGGAATTGGTGATGTGTGGCTCCGTTTGCAGTGAATGCACAGTACGATCGATTACAGTTGACGTATTTTCTTTCTTATTTTCAAGCCGCCTCGAGGATTGTTAGAAGAATGAAGACACACCCCGCACCACTCCCCCCTCCCCCTGTGAAAAGTTTAGAACCCATTTTACCTTCTATGACAGATGCGACTCTGATGAACAAACAGAAGTTATTAGGCATTGTTTATAATCAGCTACAGGGAATAGCCACACATGCAAGGTTTGGTCGCAAATGTCGCTGTTTTTATTGGAAGAACTTTACTTTAATTTGTGTCGATATATAGAACATTTTACGTATGATGCACGATCCTTCGTGCATATATATATGAACTTCATACATCCATTGTATCTGTAGAACATTTTGTTGGAATTGTGTGATTTTGTTAACAAAATAAAAGTATAAAGATATCTATCTTACAATTATTTCACAAGTGAGCGTTGGATATGAGTGGGATTTGAGTTGGATTTGAGTTGGAATCCAACGAGGGAAAATTCCCGTTAGGATACCCCTGCCCTCCAAGGATCAGAGATAATCAAACAAACTACGCGGACAACTTAGTGATCTTAGCCGGAAGATAAATACCGAAGTACATCCTGTCTTTATAAGCCGCAAGATCAAAGATGAGCTCAAAGTTAAGGAACTTAAACGTACAATTGTCAACCAGCAAAACGTTGTATATCTCTTTAAGTGGGATCTGTGCGATATATACAGATTATGTCGGCTTTTCAAGCCGACACCTACATCAACGTGTGGAGAAACATAAACGATCGGTAATCGGAAACCATGCAAAAGAACATGGAATCGAACCATGTGAAATCGCAAAGAACTTTAGGGTCCTGAGGAAATGCTCAAACAAGTTCGATTGTTTGATTTTCGAAATGTTTTTTATTCGGGCCCTTGAGCCAAAATTGAACAAACAGAGCGATTCTATTCGCGCGAAGTTCTTACCTTAACACTTCATATTAATTTATTTTCATCCTTTTCACCGCTTATTTACACTTCAGTTTTGGAAATTGTTATTAGTTGGTAGCTCTATTCTTTATATGTAAATACTTAGCTTTACCTTCATTGTTTCAGAAATCGTATATATGCGAAAATGTACTCGTGAACTCTAACTTGAAAATGACCGTGGAGCGGTCGAAACGTCGTTCATATTCTTTATCGCTCGTTTTTATCACTAAATGGTTATTGAAAGAAAAAAAAAAAAAAAAAGAAATATCTATCAAAATCTAAGACCAATATGCTTTTTTTCGGGAACAGCGGCCCATTGCATGTGAGCTCACAAACCTTGGCCTGTAAAGTAGTCAATTTCAGAAACTGTAAAATAAAGTGACTGGTTTTTATTTTAACCCAGTTTATAAGACATCTAACAAACGAAGAACTTCCGGGCTTTCAAAACCATACCCTGCTATTGAGAATTCATATCTGCAAACAACCTTATTTTCTTTTACATTTTACAGAAAGTTTTGTGGAATTGTTGGCCAGCATGTTTCCCTGGATATCGAGTATATTGAGTTAATACCTAAAATGTACTCAAACGAGATGTCGCAGGTAACGCGTTATGATTTACCTTCTTGTTATTGGTTGATTCTGTAGCTTAGAATTGTCGATTACGTTATAATTTCATTTTAAAAAATGCAGTTGATAATACATCAGGACCAAGGAAGGGATTTGCCATCGACAGTGGCAGTAGCTTGATGTCGTTCTAAGCTACCAACTAGACTCAAAGTCCTCTAAACCCCTTACAAAACTGGTGTTGGAAAATTCTTAATTTTGTTTTAAAGAATAAAATGTGGATTAATTTTTTTTTTTTGTCGCCAGGTTGTAGTACAAGTTCCATGTCGCAAACATCAGTGTCGAGGGCCTGCCACTCTTACCATGAAGGTAAAAAATCATTTCTGTTTTTTTCCCTGCAAGATTAAGTGGCAACTTATAATCTCTAGAACTTTTCATAGAAGGAATGTTTCAATTAAGCGTCGAGGTACTTTGAACTCCATCGGGTATAAATTACGATGCGCCGTGATTTGTCAAGAAACCGCGTACCACCATCTCGATTAATCAGAAATAACTTAAAACCATTCATATCACTCATATTTCCCCGTGTTAGGGTACTTAACACAGGGTTCGTACAGGTCATGGAAAACCTGAAAAGTCATGGAATTCCAAAATTTCATTTTTTCAGGCCTGGAAAGTCATGAAATTTAAGTGTGGGTCATGGAAAGTCATGGAAAGTCATGGAAAATCAATATGCTGTCTATAGTGAAAGGCAATAAGCTTAAGACCCAAAGTTGAAAAGTTAACTGACGAGTCCAAAAATCAGATTTAATTTCATTAGAAATAAACAGAAGCACGCATTGTGAGAATGTTTGCAAACATAAATTGTTTTTTTAGGATTACTGTCTGAGAACAATACCATGGAATCTTTCAAAAGGTCATGGAAAGTCATGGAATTTTAACAGGTCAAAAGTGTACGAACCCTGTAACAGTAGTTCACTTCAAGCTTTCATTGGCTCGTATTTTCCTTTCTTTTGAATGGCCGCTATCATCGTTTTAGTGTTAGTTTCACCATACTCAAATTATCCAAGATGTACGGGCTGCTTAGCATTTCTTTTACAGAACGCCCAGCCCGTTTTTTACCTTTATTTGCTTTTAATTTTTGAAATAGTTCCCCGCTAAACGAGCTAATGAAGCCATAATCAGAAAGGTTGCTGACAACCGTCGTGAGCAGGAACAAGTTGTACAGAATTTCATCCAACCATGCCCGACTCGTTTGTGTGAAGGTGCTGCTTACATTGAGAGCATTATCACGTGAGTATTAGTGTTGATGTACATCATGGTACTACCAGTAGCCATCTGGTGTGATTTCCAAGAAATATTCTCTCCTATCTAACCTTTTCACTCTGCATAATTTATTTTCTAGGTCATTGGTAAACAAAGTGAAATCCTCTTCAGAGAGGAACGTACAAGGTAATCTTTGCTTTACTTACCAAGCGCTGAACTTATTTTTTAAAACAACTCGGAACTGTAATGGTTTAGGATAACTACACTCTGTTATTGGTTTAAAAAACTCGCGCCACTTTCCTGAGCAATGAGATACAAAACTACAACAAACCGGGACGTGCTTCCTTTGTTATCTACGTTTCAGTCAGTTCAGTTGAAGTTTTCGGTGGCCCCTTTTGAGGCTTTCCTTTCTTCTGATTATTCGTTGTGATTGTTATGGTTTGGTCTTTGGGAGGGTGCATTGCCTCAATTGACATTCTCTGTTGTCTTTGTTAACTTGTCTTTGCATATTTCAGAGATAATCAGCGACATCGGTACTGCCTTATTCTACCATGTTACCGGAGCAATGGATGAGAATGTTATGACTTACCAACCAACTGTACAGTTCTTTACGTCTTGTGTTGAGATACTAGGAAAGGTCAGTGATCAACAGCACTCGGCTATCTGTATTCTTTGGCTTGTCCGATATTTTGGAGATAGAAAGAGAGTTCCTGGTAAAGAGCTAAAAGAATTAAAAGCTTTAACAGTATCATAAGCGTGTAACGTTTTGCGGTACGGCATATTGGTGGAAGTTCTTGAAGAGTCCTTTTCGTTCGTGTACGGAATTTATCCCAGAATATTAAAAAAAATGACAAACTCGCAGCACCTTTTTTCCTTCTTGATGCGTTATCGTTGAATCTTTTTGTTTGTTTGTTTGTTTTGTAGGAATTTATCATGAACAATCCCAGTCAGACAGAACAACTGCTGTCTGCCATCTTGGAGCATACTTCCATCTCGGTGCTGTTAGTTCCATTTTTCAGCCCAAATGACAACCCTGATTCCTTTACTACCATGTACCGCAGAATCCTAGAAACGGCGGATGGAGATCTAGTTTTCTCATTGCTTACTAAGGTAAAATAAACCGATTTACAAATCTTAAAGTAAGTTGTAAAGGAGGGTAATGATAGCTCATTTATTTATACCACCAACAGTACAACATACATCATCTCGACTGGATTCGAGGTTCGGGAATGCCGTCAACTTTCTTTCCACTCTGTGCCAATTATTTAAAAAGTGACTTAAAGTTAGTACTTTTAATTCAGACCTTTCATGCTGGACCTTCTTTTCTTCGAAGTTTTGGGTTGTTCACTCCCTACTTTGTATTTGTGCACGCACCATTCCTTGGCAATAAATATGCAGTATCATTTGCAAAGCGTGAAAGGCTCTCCTATATATATGCGTGTGTGGTGTCACCCCTTTTTTCTCAGATCCACTTTCAAAACTTCTTTCCAAGTAAGCTAGACGCCCTTCATTGTAGTCGATATGCCCAAATTAAACAATCTGATGGCTCTGACAAGGGACACGAGAAATGTATCTGTTTCTTGATCAGGTAAGTCTACAAGGCCCCGGCGGCACACCCCTAATAAAGTTGCCCCCTCTCCGCCCTCCCCACCGGGCAAATGCTTTCATTTCTTTCTTTCTCGTGCCTTGACTTTCTTTTTTTTTTTTTCCTCTGAAAGTTATTAAAGATTTTGTCGCGCAAAACAATCGTTAACCGTCACTAACAGTGGCTTGTGTTTTTTGTCTTGTAGTTTGAGTTGCGTAAGTGGCTGTCCTCACCAAACAGCAATCTCATGGAAAGGTCAACCCTGACGCATGCGGTGTTTGAAGCACTGAACAGTGTCGGATATGAACCTCCCAGTAACAAGAGAGCTATTTTGGAGGCGAGTTGAATATTTTATCCGTTTTTTTTTTTCTTTCTTTCTGAGAGTTTCTTCTTCCAGTCAAATGCTAACAAAGGGACACGATGGGGTCCAGTAAGGATCTTTTTTTTACACAATGGTTCATGTAAACATGTCCACTGCCTGTTTTATGGACCGAACGATTGCTGTCAAGACGTTCAGACAATAGAGAGTCAGACACAGAGGCAAATGAATCAAGAGACAAGCAGATAGCTCAAGTGGACAGATAAGCGATCTGACAAACTGACGAACTGACGAACTGACGGACCTCCAGACTGATACACTGATAAGACCGATGAACTTGATAGCCGTGATACACAGACTGACTTTTTCAGTGAATATGTTTTGAAACCTTATACTCACTTGTTAAACAATTATTTCAATTCGTTCATAGGTATATCTGCGTCATCTGTCTATCGTTCTGATGTACAATTTTCCGGAACAATACAGTGATGGTCTCAGGCTTCTCTGTGAAGGTAGGTAAAGTGCAGTAACTGCGCATGCTCGTGTACATGAACCACACCGAAAAAACATCACGCTCGTTTATAGTTTTTTAGGTCACACAGTCTTTTACAGACACCTCATTTTTGTCTTCAGCTTAAAAACCAAGCGAGAGATCAAATCTTGGCATAACTTTTGCCGATGTCTTTATGTCAAGAAATTTGAAGAAATACTATAAACACTGCGGTAGCCTCTATAGCAGGTCTAGAACTATCTTTTTTTCAGTGCTTGAAGCTCGTGTTAACAGTTTTCTGCCCCGTTTTAAGGTTCTAGTAAGCGGACTCTCTGTCTTGATGTGTGGGACACGTTTCTGTCCTGTATTGGGTGTGTTCCAACCAATGAAAATGAGCCTCCCACCGCGTCAAAGGAAGTACTGGGAGATGAACAGGTAAAAATCGTTGGGGAGTTTTGTTGGTAACCTGATATAGAAAATGTATCTTTCAATTGGTTTCTGGACTTTCGGGTTTTTTTTTTTTTTTTGTTTTTTTTTTGTTGTTGCTTTGCTTCCCAAGCTTGTAAAATATATATTTTAACGTCTCAAAACATTCGTGGGTTGTTTTTTCTTTTCTTTCACAAATCACTGCTGACAAAGCAAAATTCGTTCAAATTTTAATTTTCTTCATGTTCAATGGAGAGCTTTAGATCACCGTTTCTGCAAACGACTAACGGCAAGAACTGGGAACATCCGTTTGCTTCTGCAGTGAGCATGGCTCTAAATCGCTGTCATCTCCGTATTGGTTCGTTCCGACCACACATTTTCGTTTGAATACCGCGCACTCTCGCAGGATCACCGTAGCAGCTATATGAGAGACAATGTTTTTTTTTTTTTCGACCCATTATTTACAACGCCATAAAGTTAAACACAGGACTAAGTTAAAGAAATCAGTAAGGGCTCGTCAGTGTAGGTTATCCTTAGTTGTTAAATATTATAAACGCAATCAAATAACGACTGAGGTCCGTAAGGCACACACATGCTTATACTTATAAACGCAATCAAATAACGACTGAGGTCCGTAAGGCACACACATGCTTATACTTATA